CTCACCCAGTACAGGAATAACAACAGTTTTCAGTGAAGGCATCGTAAATCTGGCCACGCATGAGATATGGACTATTCTGATTGGAACCGCAAGAGGGCTTCCATTCATTTATCGATTGGAAAGTTACAAAACAATTGACCTAAATTTGGCCATTAACCTACCCATTCACAACTACCCAAGTTATCCCACAAATGTTATATTCCCCAACAGGGTGTCCTGAACAAAATGGTGCATGTAAACCCCTCCATTTTTGAAAATTTACAACCAAAATTCTGTGCGGATGTTTACACCATCTTCAAGGTAATAGATTTAGCTTGAGAATACCGTTTGTTTCATTGAGATTGCTTTTGTAAATCCAAAGATATGTTTGAATAACGGCAAAGCCAACAAACCCGTTTTGTGCCACTTTCTGTGAAGCAGTTAAAATCAGTATAGTCCTAGTCTTAAACCAAATCACTTTAAAGCAGATTGTGCAATATTTTTTTATATTTAATTGAACCCTTTCATTGAAGTTTTAAAGAAGTGAACCTGTCTGTACTTTTAAATTGTTTCAACATAAGAACAAAACCCTATATTGTTGTGTGAATGGAATGTTTGTCTTACACCCATAGGGATAATCTATACTATAATTCCAGGAATCTGTGTGTGTGGGCGAGTATGTAAACACCAGCAATCGTGGACGTAGGACAAAAGAATTTGGGTGCAAACAATACGTCCACGATTGACCAAACGTCCACGATCTCAAATCGTGTACAAAACCAATGAGAGCTGTCGCTAAAAAGTACAAAGAGTACAAAGAAAGGAAAGAGGATTAGGGACAATGGGGCGTCCACGATTGCCGGCATTTACACACGGGGGTGAGTGTGTGTGTGTGTGTCTGGGTGTCTGTACGTCGATCATTGTTGATTATCTCCAGATCCGGGCACCGTGATCGTATGAAGTTGAAAATTGGCGGGTGTATTGCTCGGGACCACAGAATGTGTAGTGTCAAGTTTGAAGTTGTTTGGACGAGCGGGTCTCAAAAAAGCTGCCAAAAAGTAATATTTTCTGAGGCAAACATGCCAGTATATAGGCTAGACCACCACGCACTGATGTTCTTTTCAATTGTTGACATCATGTTCGAGATAAAGTGCGCGTGCTCAATGTGATGCAAACAATGACGCAACAATGGAAAAAGGACGGGCACATGGTAGGGCAATACCATTGTGCAGTATGGGTGAATAGCACTGCACACCATGTCTCCGTACGTACACGTATGTGACTGGCATGCACGGGCACATGCATTTGTAGTCAACTGAGCAACTGCACTGTACTGTATGTAGGCGGTCGGGCGATACCATATTGTCCAGTAGGGATAAACATCAGTGCAAGGGGATGATGACATTGTGTGCGTTTAACCTGCTCGGTGGTCGAGTGGTAAGACATCTGCACTAGAAAGCAGGAGGTCGTGGGTTCGACTCCCACCCGAGTGATTTTTTTCCAACTTTCACTCGGGAGGTAACACAATGAGTATACAGTGTTTAAAAACTTCGGTGAAGGGCAAAACCTAATTTGATTTATATCACCCCGACGCAAAATTCCATCTTATAATAGTTTATGCGGTACCCGCTGCTATGTACATCAGATTCGAACCGGCCAGCTGATCCCATTAGCTCTGTGGTCGAATGGTAAGACATCTGCACTAGAAAGCAGGAGGTCGTGGGTTCGAGTCCCACCCGAGTGATTTTTTCCAACTTTCACTCGGGAGGTAACACACTGAGTATACAGTGTTTAAAAACGTCGGTGAAGGGCAAAACCTAATTTGATCATTTAACTTCAGATGGCATTGATCAATTTCAGTAACTTTTTTTACGTTGAGTTAATGAACATGCTCGTGTGTAAGACATACTTGTACATTGGTTTATCAAATTTGATTGCTTTCTAAGGAAACAAATTTGAATCCAGGTCTCTTTCTTTTTGCCTCGCCCTGTACAACACTATTGAATTCATATCAGCCCAACCCAAAGTGTCATCTTTTAAATGGTTGGGTTGCAGTTCCTGCTGGTACGGTAGGTCAGATTCAAACCAGCCAGCCAAACCCCGGCAAGCTGTGTGGTCGAGTGGTAAGCTGTGTGCACTAGTAAGCAGGTGGTCCTGGGTTCGAGTCTCAACCGAGTATAGAATGTGCATTTTTCTCTCACAAGCGCTGGGACAACACTCGGCGTATACAGTGTCTATAGTACGTCCGTGACGGGCAAAAACCCAACACTGAAAATATTGCAAATTGGTGACTAAATAATAGTAAACATTTCATTCTCAACTTCAATGCAGTCAATCTTGACATTGAAGATTTGGAAGATACAAGCAATGGTAGTGATAAATCACGGTTAACTGGCTCTGTCTTGGACGTTACACTTCCTTTCATAATGCTAGAATTGCCCATGTGTGTATTTCTTTTTGTTCTGACAAGAGTCACAAGGGGGGTGTAGTCTATTATAAGCTGTACTAAATCTTCACAAATGTACAAATGTACAATGTAGCTTAATTTTTCTGTTCTTGAAAAAATGTTCTTCTGTTCTAGATAAAAAGGTTTTGTTTAGAACTCCCCAGCAGAAAGGGAATCTCTTACTTTTTCTTTCATTTAATGATGATTATTGCAAAGACTTAGCCGTGGGTTTACTACCTAACCCAGAGTTTGAAATTTGGAGTGTTCGGGAAACTTGCTAGCACAAGTAACCAGCAAGATAGGGACGAATGTTTGAGACATGAAGAAAAACTGGCGCCAGAAAATCCTAGTCAGGAGTGAGTGACATGGGAGCTTGTTAAAGGGTGAAAGTTGAGTGTGCTGATGTAATGCTACACAAATAAGAGCACAGGGAAATTTGATACAAGTTTTAGTTTTGATGTTTGGATAATCAAGAAAGAAATTTAAAACATAGATATAAATAGTCACTGCATCAACATAGCATTGAAACCACACTCTCCTCCTTGAAATGGAAAGTGTACTTAGACTTCTGTTTTCAATTGTTATACTTACAAAGCATCCATGAACTTTTCTTCTTGGTTTGGGGAAAAAATCATCCACTTTGCTGGCAGACTGGTTTCTTGTCCATGCATTATCGATACTGGTTGTGGGGCTGGAACCAGGCAGCCTCTCGAGAACAGAAATATCTTCTGGCAGCCAATAATTTGAAATTGTAAAGTAATAATTCAAAAACTAAACATTGGCTGATTGTTTTTTGGTTCAAATGTAAATAACTGTTGTATTGCTAGAAAAATAATAATTCAGAAATGTGTATACAGTGTTTATACATCGGCGAAGGGCAAAACTTAATATTGATTTACATCACCCCAACGCAAAATTCCATCTTATGAATAGTTAGATGCGGTACTCGCTGCTATGTACAATGTACATCAGATTCGAACCAGCCATCCGATCCCGCAAGCTCAGTGTTTTGAGTTGTGAGACGTCTGCACTAGAAAGCAGGAGGTCGTGGGTTAAAGTCCAACCCGAGTGATTTTTCCAACTTTCACTTGGGAGGTAACACACTGAGTATACAGTGTTGAAATCTAATTTTTTGGGATGAAACTCAAAAAAATCCTCCCCCACAACACAAACATTCCATCTTACAAATATTTACCGGTATCTCCTTTCCTGTTGCACTTGGTTGCTTGCGATGGATTAACTGATGGAAATCCAATTGTTTGTTTCATCCCTCAGCTGCCAAGAAGATAAGGAGGAGGCATTGAAAGTACTCAACGGACACAAATGGATAGGACAAGTGCTCAAAGCCAAGGTATTCACAAAGTCACTTGTGGTTTTTACTATTGGTACTTGCTTAGAACTGTTGGCACTTTCAATGAATTGAAATAACTAATCAACAGTCTTAGTATTGGCTACCAGTGCAAGGGGTCTAGTGGCTGCTATTGCTGTGGTTACAGGTTCATGTTCCTGCAATAACTCTTTTCCCGTAGCTTGCCAAGCCAGTTGAGGACCCGGACACTAAGAGCCTCGCTCTGAAGAGAAGCCAAGAGGAATCTGATGAAAACACCCAAGAAGCTAAGAGGAGGAAGGAGGAGGACAGCTGACCAGTAGAAGAGAGGTGAAGACATTGAGATAGAATGAAGGGTTGGGCTGGATTCGAACCACCATCCATTAGAAAAGTACTCCGGTTCTCAACCAACTGAAGTCATTACAACACTCATTTCTTTTACTGTGCTCTGTGGTATTAAAATCATGCAAGTGTAGAAAAGGCTCATTTGATGGAATTTATCAATTCTGTTCTGTCCATTTATTTTGGAGGATTTTGTAGGATATAGGAAGGTAGACCCTGCCTATACTGCCATTTAGGCTTGATACCCCTTGAAAGTGGAAGTTCAAAGAATGTGATTTCCTTCACTGTAGTAGATTTTTTGAGTAGTTCAAGTAGTTCATGATCATCACAAGAAAACCATTCTTACATCCAGAGATTACTATTTTAAGAGCCCAACCAGTCAGTTCCATAGCTCATTTGACATTGTGAACATGAAATTTGTCGAGTGGAATAGTTATGTGGTCAGTTTTCTCTTCCTTGTCATTTATTCTCCTTGAAGGGAGAGCATCAAAGCTTGCATGTCTGTGTAGAGTTTGTGATTCACACTTTAAAAGACTCTTATTTTATCTGATAAACTTTTCAAGTTGAACACATTTCCCTTAGTGTTTCAAGCCTAAAATTTACTTTGCACATGCACCACCAGAACTACGAACTGAAGTTATGAGAATGGTTGTATGTAGAAAGATCACAAGTTCCGCTCACTATTCATTACCCATTATGAGATATGGTGGACACAATACAAGGGTAATATTTGGTTTGGGTGAGTCTTTTGTATTGACCCCAAATATACCCAAATCAAATGGCGCCCTTCGATTGTGTCTGTGCCATCTCTCAAAAAAGGTAATAGCCGTTGAAGCATTCACAATTGTGAAATTGTTAAGACTCTGAAATACTGAGTGTGCTTTTTGCTCTTCTCCCAATCTGCAGGTTAAACAACACGGTGACTCCACTATGGAACCAGCCGTATGAGGACCAGCTATCCACCAAACAGACCAACACCAGGGAGTTTCTGAGGAATTTATCCAAGATGCTGCAACGGAACATTGGGGGAGATGTCTCCCTGGCTTAAGCAACAAAGGTGAGCTACTCACCAAAGACACAGGATGGTTGTGGGCCAGAATGGAAATGTGATCTTCCTTGACAAGTAACTGTTTCCAGACACAGTTTTATGGCGAGCTGCCCTGAAAACTTGTTAAAACCCCAGAAAATGTAGCCCATTTGTTTGAGAATCAGTTAAGGTTTTAACAAATTTTATGAAATAAGCTCCCTTCTCCACACACACAAGTCTTGTCGAATAAACAAAACACACACAAAACACACACACACAAAACAAAGGAAAAAGCTCACGAGAAAAAGTTTACAAAAGTTGCTTGAGTGGGACTTGCACCAACAACCTCCTGCTTACTAGTGCAGATGTCTTACTTGACCATCAAGCTTGCTGGGGCTGACTGGCTGGTTCCAATCTGATATAGCAGTTACCACAACCAATGAGTTTAATGGATTGTTTACGTAGGGGACTTGTGAATGTTAATATCTGGTTTGCCATTCACCAATGCAAATTTGAAAGCTTTCTTGGGTGGGATATGAACCCATAACCTCCTGCTTACTAGTGCAGACATCTTAAGGCCCTCTCACAGTGTCACGTTCTGGCATGGAGTTTGTAGTGCTACCAAGAAAATTGACTAAAAAGCGATGGGGAATGCAGATGACGGCATAGGGACTCACTGATACTAGTTGAGGACTTCAGAGGGATTCCAAGGACTTCGCTGAACACCAAACTGCCGTGTTCGTGTGTTTGGTGTTTCATTCAAAAGTGAATAACTTTTGTATTGCTTGAAAAATAGCAGATTGGTAAAGAAATCTGTTTTTCGGGATGAAACTCGAAAATAGCACGGAACTTTAAGTAAATTTAGTACTTCATCCGGCATTTGTTGAGTAAAACTGTTATGCGGACAGTTTTCCTTGTTTTTTCCCCTAGAAGGTACAGCATTAAAGGTTGCATGTCTGTGTAGAGTGTGTGTGCGATTCACAGTTTCAGATGCTTCTTATTTTATCTGATAAACTGTTCAAGTTGAACACATTACCCTCATTGCTTCAAGCTTAAACTTTAATTTGCAATGCACCACCAGAACTATGAACTGTAGTAATGAGAATGGTTGTATGTAGAAAGATGACAAGTTCCACACACACTCATTACCCTTTGGAGATACGGTGGACACAATACGAGGGCGCTATTTGGTTTAGGTCTAGTCTTTTGCATAAGTTACCCCAGTATACCCAAATCAAATAACACCCTTGTATTGTGTCTGCCATATCGCAAAAGGCTTATAGCAGTTGAGTTATTCACTTTTTCCAAAATTTGTTAAGACTCTGAAATACTGAATGTGCTTTTCACATCTTTTCCCAATCTACAGGTTAAACAACATGGTGACTCCACTGTGGAACCAGCCGTATAAGGACCAGCTATCCACCAAACAGACCAACACCAGGGAGTTTCTGAGGAATTTATCCAAGATGCTGCAACGGAACATTGGGGAGATGTCTCCCTGGCTGAAGCAACAAAGGTGAACTACCCGCCAAAGACACGGGATGGTTGTGGGCCAGAATGGAAATGTGATCTTCGTTGATAAAAAAACTGTTTCCAGACACAGTTTTCTGGCAAGTGGACTTACATGTACAGCTGCGCTGAAATTTCATTTAAAGTCCAGAAAATGATGCCTCATTTTTCTTGAGAATCAATTAAAACTCAGCAAACTTTGGGCCAACTTCTGAAATAAACTTCCTTTCCACACACAAAAGTCCCAAAAATTAAAAGGGGGGGGGAAGTTGGTAAAAAAACTGTTTACAGACAAAAAGCACAAAAATGAACACAAAACCAAAACTTCACAATTCATAAGCTGCTCGAGTGAGACTCGCATCAACAATCTCCTGCTTCCTAGTGCAGATGTCTCAACTACTTGACCACCAGGCTTGCTGGGGTTGGCTGGCTGGTCCCAATCTGATATAGCAGGTGCCACAATCAATGAGTTTAATTAATTGTTTACGTAGGGGAGTTGTGAATGTGAATACCTGGTTTTGACCTTCACCAATGTAAATTTGAATGCACTGTATATTCAGTGCTGTCTGAGAGCTTACGAGCAAAGATTCTGCAAGCTTGCTTGGGTGGGATATGAACCCATGACCTCCTGCTTACTAGTGCAGACATTTTAACCACTCAATAACAGAGCTTGCAAAGGTTAGTGGGCCAGTTTGAATCTTGTGTATATATAGCTTTGGTTACCACAAGAAATTCACAAGCCTGTTGGAGTGGGATTCGAACCCACACCCTCATTTTTAATAGTGCACTCTTCATTTGATTGACAGGAAGAACCACAGTGGGATGGCATGTGAGTTGCAGCCAATTAAGCCATCGGTGAGTAAGCTAGGTGACAAATATTTGTTGATAAAAATATAGATTTTATTTAAATTTATTTGTAGTATTGTGAATGATTTCATGAATTATAATCTCAATGATAGTTCACATTGGCACATAGTGTTAGGTTAGCCATATGGAGAACTTTGCCACCCATATGTGCAGAAAACCAAAGCCCTGCATGCTCTGCGGTCACACACAACGGTGCATTGACCCGGCGACCTGCATAGCCCCACTGCGTAGCCGGACTATACATAAACAGCAGGTCGATCCTCAGAACAAAAGCGATGTCTGATTTGACAAGAAAAGTGACCCTTGTTCTCCTCAACCAATCTAAATGGTTGTTACATCAATGGAAAGCTTATTGTGTTATCTTTCAGAAACCGTGCGAGGTAATTGTGTGCGACTGGGTTCACACATGTGCTGTTCGAAGAAGTAAACCGGCACTCTCAAAAATCGGGGAAATGTGCCGTGACCTCCATAGGAAACGCGAAATTTTCACTGAGTTGCCCGTTTTTCAATGAAAAAGTGCACATAATTATTCGCCTTTCATCATAAAGAAATTATATTCATGTGAAAGAGGAAAATCTGTATTTTGTGATGCGATGCGAGGAAGTAAGTTTAACCGACACACTTTCCGCATATTAACGAAAATTTGCTCAGAGCGCCTAGACATGAGCCAGTCTTCCCACATAAACAGAGCTCCACTAGTGGCGAGTGAGCAAATGCTCCCTAGTTCTCCATATGTGACTGGTGTGATCTTTGAACTTGGGTAGATAGATAGAGTCACCTTACTTGTACTAAATTTATATTTCAACCTGGATTTCTTGTGAGATAAACTATACAGCATGTGAATCTTTTGTGGGGTAAATATTCCTGACATGGGAGATGTCTGATTTGTACCTTTCATTTTCATTGTTTGTTTGCATACTCACAGCCAGTATTAGAGAGCTATCGCAACAAGTGTGAGTTTACCATCGGCAAGAGTGTCGATGGCATCGGTGAGTGAAACTGGCATTTATTTTTATTTATGCAATCTCTTCATTTTGTGTGTGTATGCCCTCCGTTCACAAGTACCCCCTCGCCTGGATATAAAGTGTGCACACATGTACATGTACTTAATGCACCTGTTATGAAAGCTGAACAGAAAGTTCCAGGATTTTTTCTCAGTTATTCCCCTAATTTTTTTGTCAGGTCTTCATGAAACTTGGCCCTGGATAAATTGTGCAATAGTTTCAGTATCATGTCTTCTTATTTTCATTGACAGATAACACTGTTGGTTTCCGGCTTGGCGTTTACAAAGGTAAGTATTTCCTCTGAAGTTTCATTTTGGTAAAAGACGTAGATCAGCTTTCATGTTTGATTGGATCGGCTGTCGAGGGGCGTGGCCTATTGGTAGCTAATGCTGATCAATTCCAACCAATCAGAATGCAACACGCAGAAAGATTGACAGGTGTACATATTGTGCATTGTCTATTATGTCTGTCAGGAATTAATTATTGAAAAGAAAGAAACAAGCCACAAAAGACTTAAACCCTTGTCATCCCCTTTGCCATGTTTGCTGACCAATATGCTGGCTTACTTTTGTGGCATGAATATTTCAACATTGAACAGCAAGCTCTTTTACTCAGTAGGGATTTTTCAACATTTACATTTGTACAAACAAGAATTAGGTTTTAAATACAAAATTCAGGAAAATCACTGTTTGTTTAAATGTTGCTAGTGTACAATTTTATTTATTTTATCACTGCTCTTGCTTTTACACGCAAATTTGTTTGTCCTATAAAAAGTGTGTGACTTTTAGAAACATGGTTTGCCCTGCTTCTTTTTTTCCCCAAATATTACTAGGTATCAGAAAGTCGTAAGAGCTCAAACACCGATTTGGTGATAGTACATTTCTGTATTATTTGTGTTTAGAGTTTTAAATTACACAAGGAAATTACAGCTTTAATGAACATATAAAAAGAAGCAATTCCTTGGATACTGTGCAAATTAAGATACAATCTTGTATGATGCTAACTTTACAATGACATTCATATTTTACAGCATTGATTTTTCAATTACCCAAATTCGAAGTACCCTTGAGTCCATCTAAAAGAAATATTAGAATATTGCTTTGCATTTAAACACAGATTATGTACAATAATAGAGCATGCAAGTCTCGCCAGTTCACATTCACTTTTCATGTGAACATCTTAGTACCAAACACTGACTAGTCTAGCCACAGACTCCCATGTTTGAATTCACCCAATGAACGGAAGTGGAGGTCCACATTTTTTCAATTTACTATAGTAATCAACTTGCAATATTTTTTGAATGTGTTGTAAATTGGAATGATTTTTTTCTTGTTCAGAACCCATTCTTTGCCCTTGACTGGATAAACCTAGTAAAATCACCTAGGTTTTTGAGGTCAACTTGCACGCTCTATTGACAGAAGTGGGGAACACATTGCTGACTTCAACTATCAACTACATTTTTTTCCAGCTAGTAGCTGTGATGACACCTTTAATACACCAGACTTAAATCCCATACTGTACATCTAAAGCCTACAATGGTCTCGTATATTATATATCTGTGCTCTGCAGCAAAACATCTATTTAATTGGATTTCTCCTTGCTAAAGATAGAATTTAAGAAAGTTTGAACAAAAATTCTGCACTACATTTGGTCTGCAAAAAGTATTTTCCACGTTGTGCTACATGTATGCACAAAGATTGGTGTAATGTATTTGGAATCAGATGCTCCTAATGCATAACTTGCAACTTTGTTGATCTGTTACTTAGGCTGTGTCTGAAACGCGCTTCTAGAGCTATGGCTACGGCTATTGTCAGATTGTTCCCATGTAATTGTTTTGGGTGAAGACCTAGACAACATAGCTCTAGCCATATCAATTTTTTTAATCTGTTCATTTGTGCATCAGGTCTTGACCCACAAGATAACCATTCCACCAGCACCTCTGACGTACCAGTGACTGGCGCTGCCATAATGGATCCTTATCACTATCTGACACAACAGCACTTCACCTCAGAGATCTTCAAGATTGAGATCCAAAATCTCCCAAGACACTTTGGATTTGCGGTGAGTTTGCTCCCTTAACATTGAACCCTTAATAACAATAACCATACAGTTTGTGCCTTTTTATAGGAGTATGTATGTATTGTGCTCCATGCTTGGGATTTGTCAAGGTCTGTTAAAGCTACAGTCCATCATTTATAATTTATGCATTTTGTTCGTTTGAAGCAACAAAACAGTTCAAAATCTAATGAAGGATACTGAGCAACTAACCTGATGAAGTTTCAGCTAAGCTTCAGCTGTACATTCCGAGAAAAACAGCATTCAAAGATCTCAATTTCAAATCAAAAGTTACTGAATCATGTTTTGAATTGTTTTGAATTGCAGCTATATGCGACGTCGCGCACTGATCCGACGAATTATAACAACCGCGCGCGCGTGTGCGTCGTTCCAATACTTGTGCGCGCTGCGCTGAATAACAAAACGAACTACTAATTGAAATTTTCCTACGGTGCTTCTTAAGAATCACCGTTGGAAATGCCTTCTTTCGTTGATTACTTCAAAATTACAGCTTCCCAGAAAGAATAATTTCACAGGGAGTTTAGTTCCCTTACTATCTTTCAAACAAGTTTGTTTTTTAACAATAATTTACTTTTCGGATGGCTGCAAATGATGGACTCTAGCTTTAATAACAGCATCAAAAGGCTGTAAAATGAATTTCACTAAAACATGAAATATCCCAGCCCTGTGTTTGTATGAAAGTAATGACCACATTTTACGCACACTTTTTTGCAATGCCCGTGCACATGTTCGCAATTGTTTCTAATGTTGCTGTGATGTTGATTTAGGTATTTTACACTTCACAGCTTTGGGATTTTCTGTATAATTTATGAACCTAAAATTGATTGCATTGTACATGTGTAAAAGTTTGTATATTTAAGTATATCATTGGCTGCATGCTATGTGCTAATTAACACAACAGTCACATCAAACTTGATCAAAAGACAAAACACTTTTGTTAACATTCCTTTCCCCTCAAACAGCAGTGACACTGAAGTTCCAGCTCATGACATCGCTGTATTGCTCATGAATATGGAACTTGATAAAAAATATTTTAAAAACCTGGAGCATCCAAAGACTTGGAATATAGTTCCTAAAATTAAAACCTCAAAATCTGTTTAAAGGCACTTAAAAAAAACCCTTCATTTACAGTGAACAATTTCAGGGTTTCCATATGTTAGTACCAACACATGTACATTTTGTTTGAAGCAACAAAAGTGCTCAAAATCTAAAAACGGGTGCTTAACAACTAACACGATGAAGTCTTAGCTCTGTGAATGCAGTATCTTCCGAGAAAACTATATTCAAGGATCTCATGTTCAATTCAACAGTTGCTGAGTCATGTTTTATATTGCGTCCGAATTCAGCCCCAGGGACACATTCTCATTCAGTCAATTGCAGCTACGTGATGTCATGCACTGAACTGACGAATAATAGCAACCTAGTGTGCGTGTGCGTCGTGTCGACGCTTGTGCGCACATATTCATTGATTCACCGAATTTACAAACCAACTACATGAACTAACATGATGCATCGTTGGAAATGGCTTTCTGTCATTGTTTCCTTCAAAATGACAGCATGCCAAAAAGAATGATTTCACAGGGAGTTTAGTGCCATTAAAACCAAAAGCCTTTTAACAATAATTTTGTCAGTTACTTTTTGGATAGCTGCAAATGATCTACTCTACCTTTAAACACGAACAAAAGTTTGATTCAAATAATTAAACTATTTAGGATTTGTGAATTTCTGAACCTTTTACATACATACATTGCATGAATACCAGCTGTTCCCTTTACTGATAGTTGGTTGCAATCTGCTCTGGGTGGGCCTGCACATTACTGATGTCATGGTGCGTACATGTATTGGCAATTCGCTGAAGTAAAACACATTTCAACTCGAGCATATTGTGCTGTTAATGTTTCTCGATGTCAAATCTACTTCATTGGCATTCCAATGAAGAAGATGTATGAAACGGCCTTAAATCTGCTCTACACTTTGAACACAGCAAGTTCAAAAGCAGCACTCACTCTACACACTGCTGCCCTTAAAGACAGCTTGCACTTATCAGGTACCAGTGAACATTGTTCTTGACAACTTTCCAAAGATTAAATCCCTTCTGGTTCTGGATGTGCATACTGCTGCCCTTGTGCTGATGGCTCGGTGCCAGTCAGCCCAGGACATTGTTCCGGAGTACTTGCAAGTGACTGCTGGCTCTCTGCTGGTTCTGGATGTTCACACTGTTCCCCTTGCATGGATAGCTTGCAGTCAGTCAGACTAGAGCATTGTTCCTAATGAGAACTTGCAAGGGCTGGGGTCCCAGCTGGTTCTGCATGTACCTCAACATGCACTTGAACATGCTGCTGACTGTGCATGGATGCCTTGCTGCTACTTTGCCTGGAACATTGTTCGTGACAGCTGTCCGGTGACTGCTGACTCGCTGTGTGTTGTGCATGCCCTTGGCTTGGTGGCTTGCTTGGCCTGGCAGCACGGTGCTCTTGGTCTTTTTCTGCCTGTGGAATCACATGAAGCTCGATCTGCTTCCCTGGCTGCGATGGTCGGCTGGGATTCCATCTTGGGCAGCAACGACAGCACAGTTTCAGGAATGAGAAAGCCTTGACTACAGCTTCACGAAAGTCGGTGTTTGTGGCACTGTAGACCAGGGAATTGATTGAGCTATTGATCAGTCGCAAAATTGCAATGCATATAGTCAGAATATTTATTGTCTCTGCAAGTTCCAGACTGGCAACAATCTGAGCAGTTGAAGTAAACTTTGATGCAAGTACATGTATTGCCATAATTGCAGCTGCAATGATCAGTGAGTTCAGAATGAAGAAAACAGCACTGTTGAGGATAACCATGCAGAGGACCTTGCCTGCTCGCTTGGGACGGTTGGGCAACAGGGCTGATTGC